AAAAAAAAAAATTTAAATGCAAAAAAAAAAAAAAAAAAAAAAAAAGAAAAGATAATTTTTTCTTAAAATTTTTTTTTTTTTTTTAATATCTTTTAGGTGTATTTTTTATAAAATTATTTATTATATTATCAGCATAAGAATTATTACTAATACTGGTTTTATTAGCTTTATAAAACGACATAAAAAAGTTGTATCTACTCATTTTTAATTCATAACTATTATTTTCAAAATTTCCTAACAAACTTTTTATTAGCCATTGCTCTTTTAAAAGTAAATCACATATATCATAATTAATCATTATTTCTAATAAATTATAAATGTTTATCTGTATTAATATGTCATCAATTTCTTTCAATATTGTTATTATCTTCTCAAAAAGAATATTATGAATTAAATCTTTAAACCATACAAAATCCATCGATTTAGAAGGTATTATTCTTAACCATATATTAATTGAATGCCTCAAAACATTAACGTGCGAATGTGAACTTATTTTTTCAATAGAGATTAAATGGATATTTGGGTTTAACTTCAAAAGAATCTCACATGATTCTTTAATTGAAAAAAAATAACCAAAAGATTTTATTCCTACAATTATTTTTTCAACATTCATACTACAGTCACATAAAAATTGAATTGTAGTTTTCATTAAAATATTAGAATGAGAATTTAAAATAAAACTTAAAACTAATGGATTTATTTTAGAATAAGAAATTATAGAATTCAAAATATTTAAGTGCAATATTTCTTCATTCGACTTTTTAAGGTCATTTAAAACTGTGTGTAAAAAATTTATGTTTTCCGAAACTGCATCACAATAATATATATTTTTAATTAATTTTGAGAATATTTCTAATACATTTATTTTTAATAATAAATCATCTTTTAAATAAATCATGTGTAAATATTTATAAATATTAATTTTTATCATTTTACATATATCATTTAGTTTTAGACAATATTTGTTCATCATTTCCTTCACACAATTTTGATCAACAAAGGAAATATCATTAAAAGTACAATTTTCATAATCACTATCAAATGTAAAATTTTCTAAATTTTGATCATCTTTGTAAATAATAGATAAATGAGTTGCATCACTTTTATCATCCTTTAATAAATTTTCAATTTCATTATTATAGCATTTTTTTTTATTTACTTGAAATATATCAACAAATGCTTCATTATTTAAATTAATATTATCAGTAATAAAATCTAGCAATCTTAAACGTTGAATGTTATCAGATTTTTCAAGTGATTTTTTAAGTTTTTTTAAAAAATAGAAATCAAATATTTCATTCACTTTTTTATTTTCTTTAACTAAAAGTAGTATAATTTCGTTTGCCCGATTAAAGGAGCAAAGAGATTTACTAAAAATGCATATTTTTAACATTTTTAAATGAATTTTATCACAATATTCTCCATCTTCTATTATATATTTTTTTATATTTCTTAAAGTAAATATTTGTATATATATATTTTGAATATATAATGCCCTTAATAATATATTATTAATATTTTTATTTGAGAAAATTAATTTCCTTCCCAAACTTAAATTAAAAATACTTCTTATAATAAATGCAATCATTATTAATATGATTTGGTACATTTGATTTTTTTCTAAACGTAATTCAAAAATTTGGTAATATTCTTGTACTTTTTCAACTTTTAAATTTTGCAAAACTTCATTTAAATCCACTTTGTTAAAATCACCTACTTTATTTTCCGTATAAGATGATTTCAAAATATTATTTAAATCGTAAAATGTTTTTTCTATTTTCTCTTCAAATTCTTCTTCTGTAATGTAAGGATCAAAATAATTAAGTGTTCCTTCAGAATCATACGTGTTTTTCTTCATATACATTTTGTTTTCCTCTATTAAGTAATTATTTGAATTAATAATTTCATCATCACTTTTTAAATAATCATTTTCTATTTCGTGTTTGTCAAAATTTTCATTTCCACCTAATAAATTAGAATAATAACTATAAGAGAATATCAAATCTTCTATTTTAATTTCTTTTTCTAAAGACAGTAACAATTCATTTGTGAAAACCTTATTGTAATAACATTTTACATCATTTAGGTCTAAAACATTATTTGAATCCATATTTATAAAAATATATTAATAAAAAAAAACTAAATAATAAATAATATCATAAAAATATAGATATTTTAAAGATGAAAAAAGTATTTATAAAAAAGAACTTTCATTTAAAAAGTTTCTTAATGATATAATGTTGAAAATTTTCATATAAACTACATATATTGATATCTTAATATTAAAAATTTTAAAAAATATATTACTTTTTCATTATTAATATATTTTATTATAACTTCTTTGTTAATGGCTATTTTAATTTATAAACCTATTTATATATTATTATTTTTCTTATATGAAAATATAATTAAATTATTTTTACTTAATAACTTAAAATTTTACTTTTTTTTATAGTAATCTCTCTTTTCTTACACCTTTATGAATTATGAAGTCTGAATGTTTTACTTATTTTTATTAAAAATGAAAAAAAAAAAATCTTTATGTAATATTGTCAGAAATATAATCTAATAACAATTTCATTTTTTCTAAAATAATTAAAAAAAAGGTTATTTTTTTAAATAAATAAAAATTTTCAAAATTTTAATATTTTCATTTAATTTAAAAAAAAAAAAAAAAAAAAAAAATTAAAAACGAAATTATATTTATATTTTAAGTTTTAAGCTTTCCTTAATAAAAGTTTCATTGTATCGATGATATATAAATAGTTCCTTTTATAAAATTTTATCTAAAAAACCCCCAAATTACTTTAAACTTTTAAATTACAAAATATCTATTAAGAAACTTATAAAACAACCAAAAAAAAAAAAAAAAAAAAAAAAAAAAAAC